CAAAAAAAAAATCAAAACCGTTAACTGAACTACTAAATCAATAACCCATTAATGATAAACCAATAACTTATTTTTTATTCGAATTATCAGTTTAGGTTCGGTTTTGAACAACCCTACTCTCCACCATTGCTTAGCCTCACCTTGAAGTTGGAAAGATATGAACTCAAACCCATGTTGGTGAACAATGCCCAATTTATGCAGCCTCTCAAAACAGTCTAAGATAAACTCATAAGCATCTTCAGTCTCAGAACTAGGAAACACCAGAGGCTTAAGCTTCAGAAACTTAGTCAACATATCATGCTCGTTCCCAGTCATAACAGAACCCAACAGAGGACGGAAGAAAGCATCATTACCTCCCATTCCACCCGTCTTGGGCGTAGTGCTAGCAACAGAGGGATTAATGGGAGCCTGAGTTACTTGGGCAGATGGAAGCACTCCAGGACCAGTCAATCTCTTCAAAAAGGACATAATTGTTTGAGCTAACACCGGATCCAAATGAGGAACGCCTGCATTTCCAACCTGCACCTCTTCCTCTTGTCCAATCTCTTTAACATCCTCGACATCCACATTCTCTTCTATCTCCTCATTATGCGCAGGAGGGTTTTCATTTAGATGCACATTCTCAACAGGTACCTCATTTTCAGTATGCACTACCCTTCCACGACCTCTACCCCTAGCTCTTTATCTACCTCTGCGTCGATCGCGACCTCTCGTTGCAGATTCATCAGCTGGAGTATTGACAGGAGCTACGGGCCTAACACCGTTATACCTAGTATTAACCATCTGCGAACAGAAGAGTGAAGAAGGTTAGATACCAATTTGAATCGTCAGATACCAATTGGAATAAAGTCATAGCACGAAAGGAGACAAAAGAAAATAGAGATTTCCTAAAGTCCTATAGCCTCTCGAAGAAAAGTAAAGGCATCCCCGTACCGTTCCACGAAACTCTATTAGACTCGTTTCGATACATTGAGATCAACGAACCTAGGCTCTGATACCAACTTTGTCATGACCCAAACCGTCGTGATTGGCACCCACACTAACCATCCGGTGAGAGAACCGCTACTACAACCAAACTAAGAAACTAAAACAATACTAAGGCAATTAAGTTACAGAAGTAAGTTAATTTACTAACAAATGCGGAAATTGAATACCTAAAACCTGAAAGTCAATCTACCAAAACATCTAAACAAATGATCCAAGTCTAAACAAGAATGGATACATCTCCAACTAATGAACTAATCAACTAACTAGAACAAATATCTAAGTCCGGAAATGATGGACATAGACGAAAGAGAATTTCATGGCAGCCCGGAAGAATTGGCTCACCCTTGAATTCGAAGTGACGATCACTGATCTTCTAAGCGAGGTCTGTCAATAGTCGCGTGAAGATGCCATGTACTAAACAAAATAACAGCAAGTGCAGAATCAGTACACAACCACAGTGTACTGGTAGGATCACGTGGCTATCCCACTAGTGCAACAAAAACAAGTCAAATAACATTATAATCACATTCATATATATCAACATATACAACATCATCAACATTTATGAACAACCAACAACTTCACATTTTATAGCATATCATTGGTCCTCTCACGTAACCCAAGCCCAAACAGTTAGCTTGCCGGAACGTGGCAATTCGATCCCATATTTATGTCGGAACGTAGCAACCGATCCCATAATTATGCAGGAACATGGCAATCCAATCCAATAGTTATGCCGAAACATGGCAACCAATCTCATTCACACACCACAATCATAATCACAAGTACATCATCAAGATCATACATTTAAATCATGATTTCATGGCATCGATAATTCAACTATCTCATTTACAATAAGTGTGATCAACATTGCAACATTCATACATATACAAGTATCATAATGAAGCAAGAACAAGCGTATATCACACAATCATAGAATCACAACCATCACATACCTCCAAACAAGCTTGAAACCCTAATAAACTTGATCCTTCCCCTTCCAGATTCGTTCAGCTTGTTCTTCATCTACAAACAATCACAATAACATGGGAATTAACAAACAATCGCTAATTATCCGAAACTATAACAATTCTATGAACCCTAGATCAAACCCATGATCCCAAACATCCAAACTAGGGTTGTTTCCACCATAGAATCTATAACAAAACCTTCCTCGTCAATATTCACCCATTCTATTACGTATTACGAATAGAGAAACGAATTTGGAGAGTGAAAATCTTACCTTTAGCCTTAAGAATGGTGAAAAAAAAGTAGAAATCGCCTGGGGGTCGTTCCGTAGCTCTAAAAGTCAAAAACTGCCAAATAAGGTCGTTTAGGAGTTTATTAATGACATTAAGTCGCATCTAGCCCACCACAGCGGCCCTCATCCCGCTGTAGTGGCGGCGCCAGAGCGACACCAAGTCCCGCCAGAGCAGCATGTTCGAAACAATGAGCTATCCATCCTTTTCTACGATTTTAAGTCCCGTCGTACTCGCCACAGCTCCCCAAATCCCGCTGTAGCGGCCCCGCTAGAGCGGCCAGACTCCCGCCAAAGTGGCACAAACGGAACCAGAGAATCAACTGACGAAATTCCAAAATCCCCTTTCACTACACATCTCTAACCCACGACGATTAGAAAATATCCCTCACGCTAAGATCAATTTCGGGAGTTCTACTCACCCGAATTTAATTCTGTAAAGTCATACGGATTCCTTAACAAGTTATCCAATCACTCATGCAATCAAAACTATAATTACTCCACCCAATTGTTACCAGATTTCCCCACACCTCAAGGACTCCGATTTCGTCCAAATCTAGACAAGGTTGGGAAAATTCAAGTACTACGAAAAAAAATTCCGGCCCCAATTTTTCACCCGTTGGCATTTCTATAACGACGGAACCCGGTTATTACATATTACTAAGTAATATATTTGAGTTACAAAATAAATATATATATAAAAAGAGTTTAAGTTCCTGAAAAAATGTTGATTTGCTTTAGCTATCATAATAAGGGAATAATATTATTATTTTTAAAATTATACATGAATTAATATTTAATTATTTAAAATAGATTGAGAACTTACTATTTTCACTTTCCTATAAAGTATAGATGAGACGAGAAGTTCTATTGTCTTTTTTTTTTTCTGAAAAAATTACGTAATTAGGCAAATATGTAATATATATTTTTCCTAAAATTTCACATTAAACAATATTGAAAATTACAATATGAAAAATATTTTAGAACTTCAAATTCAACAATTCAAACCTTCATATTATTAAATAAAGTTTTTATAATTATTAACATCCAAGGTAATATATTACAAACATATGGCTAACATCTTATTAACTAAAATTAATTCTTTGTTTTAAAAATAACAATATTGCAATGTAAAGTTAATAAATCTAAACCTCAAAACAAAACAAATCAATAAAAAAAAAACTAAAAACTCCCCACACACTTATTTTGATACTAGAAAATTTGAATAATTAAAAAAATGTCCAAACAATCTTACAATGATATAACATACAAATAACTGGAGTCCTTTAAGATATAGAAATCTCTTGATATTAGTGGTAACATGCAAATGTTGTTATTAGTTGTATGTTGGTTATGTTTGTATATTGTGCCTCTTATACTTATGTTTATGAAGTTTTTTCAAATTGGCATAAAAATATGATTTTCAAATAAAATGTCTGTTTTAAACATGGTTTTTGCATGGCTATCATACTTAGTACTTAATTGTGCTAACCCATATTTCTTCTATTTTACTTCAAGTGTAGATTCCGGCATTTGAGTTGATTCTCTCTAGTTGAAGCTTGGATTAAGTTTTTCCAAGACTATTGGTATGTCCTCATGGATTCGAGGACAAGTACTTTGATGTTTCGTTTCTTTCATGTATTAGACATTTGTTAGATTTTCGATTGTAAAGTGTCGTGTCCCTACTTTTGTTTTGAATATTGTTTTTAGATGGTCATGTGAGACTAGTAGACTTCCGCTGTTTTAAATAAAGTTTTTGATTGTATGAATTTAAAGAAATTTTTTTATTTCGTACCATTTTCCTTATATCGAATGTTATGAATGCTAGGAGGCTTGTATGAAATTTTTCGGAGTCTTTGTATGCCGTGTCGCTTCCGGGGTATAGGCTCGGATCGTGACACTAAGAAATGGAAAGAACATGGACTATAGCAAAAAGGTTGTGATAAATTTTGGCACTCTATATTAGTCTTCTTTCATTTTAACAGTTAAATTCTATTTTTATGTATTATTTTAATATGAAAATATTATTTTTATGATTTCTTTAGTTTTATATATGTTCTTCAATTACAATTTCTTATTTTAAAAATTGATATGTGTCAGTCAATTTTAGTAAAAGAAATTAAAAATTAACGAATAAACATTGATTCTTTCTAAGAAAATAATAATTTCTTTTTGATAGTTTTTCTGTATTTTTGTGTGAAAAATAACAGATGATATTGTATTTGTTTTCTTTCATAATAAATCATCGACATCCCGATAAAGTCAGTCAAATTTTAATATATTTTTTAATGTTATAATTAGGAATGAACAAGAGTCTCTTTTTTTACTCGTATTGAAGATGAGTTTTTTTATTCGTATTGAGTTATATTAAAAACTAAAAGTGAGTATTTGTGTTAGATTCAGATAGCCTAGATGATTAGAAAAAATAAAATATGAAGTGTTATTTAATTTAATTGAATGTTTAAGAAATAAAATCAAAGAACTTTCATCGATTTATTTTCATGCAAAAATACAGAGAAAATCTCAAAAAATAATGTTATTATTTCAAAAAAAATTATGTTCATTCGCTAATTTTTAAATTTTTTAATGAAAATTAACAGACACACATCAATTTTTAAAATAAGAAACTGCAATTGAAGAACATAAATAAAAATAAAGAAATCATAAAAAATAGCATTTCGTGTTTAAAAGCCACATAAAAATGAATTTAAGGATTAAAATGGAACAAGGCTAAGTCGGAGTGCCGAAATAAAAAATGAGGACAAGTTTTGAGAGATGATTAATTGTAAACTCAATATTTATTATTCAATTTTTGTATATATATATTAATAAGTCTACTAAATATATATATATATATATATATATATATATACTAGAAGAGCTGTTAATTGATGGTATCCTTTATGCCTTCCAAGAGCAAACCAGTGACGATGCCAATGTGATGCTTAACGGATTTGGTGCTGTTGTAAATGCCCTTGAGAGTTAAGCCATACCTTCCTCAGATTTGTGGTACTATTAAATGGCGACTGAACAACAAGAGTGCCAAGGTGAGACAGCAAGCTGCAGATCTGATATCCAGAATTGCAGTAGTTATGAAGCAGTGTGGGGAAGAACAACTAACGGGCCATCTTGGTGTTGTCTTGTACGAGTACTTGGAAGAAGAATACCCAGAGGTTTTAGGATCTATACTGGGGGCTCTCAAGGCTATTGTGAATGTTATTGGTATGACTAAAATGACTCCTCCAATTAAGGACTTGCTTCCTCGGCTGACCCCTATTTTGAAGAATCGTCACGAGAAAGTCCAGGAGAATTGTATTGACCTTGTTGGTCGAATTGCAGACCGTGGTGCTGAATTTGTTCCTGCAAGGGAGTGGATGAGAATTTGTTTTGAGCTTCTTGAGATGCTTAAAGCGCACAAGAAAGGTATCCGCCGAGCAACAGTGAACACATTTGGGTATATTGCTAAAGCCATTGGACCTCAGGATGTGCTTGCAACATTGTTAAACAATCTTAAGGTGCAGGAACGTCAGAACCGTGTCTGTACCACTGTCGCAATTGCTATTGTTGCAGAAACATGTTCTCCCTTTACAGTCTTGCCTGCCTTGATGAACGAATATCGCGTGCCTGAGCTTAATGTCCAGAATGGTGTCTTGAAATCCCTCTCCTTCCTTTTCGAGTACATTGGAGAAATGGGCAAGGATTATATATATGCTGTAACTCCATTACTCGAAGATGCTCTTATGGACAGAGATTTAGTACACAGGCAGACTGCTGCCTCTGCTGTGAAGCACATGGCTCTTGGTGTTGCTGGTCTTGGATGTGAAGATGCACTTGTCCACCTTTTGAACTATGTCTGGCCAAACATTTTCGAGACGTCTCCACATGTGATCAACGCAGTCATGGAAGCCATCGAAGGAATGAGGGTCGCACTGGGAGCAGCCGTAGTCCTTAACTATTGTCTACAGGGATTGTTCCATCCAGCAAGGAAGGTCAGAGAAGTTTACTGGAAGATATACAACTCCCTCTATATCGGCGCCCAGGATGCACTTGTAGCTTCTTATCCAATCCTGGAAGATGATGAAAACAATGTCTACAGTAGGCCTGAGCTGAACATGTTCATTTAGATATTTGCCTCTTATATCTGCTTTGCCATTTTTAGGCGTTTTCAGAACATGGCCCGCGCCAACAAAATATTATTAATCACAAATAATTGCTCGAAGGAATTATTAAGCTATTCAGATACTCATATGAGAATACAACGTTAACGTATCATCAGACAATAATATGACATGTTTGGTTTTTTGTAATGGTATAATACTCGCACAATATTATTAAAAAGGGAGGAATTAGTTGTCCCAATATTTTTTTTGTATAATACTCGCACAATAATGATCAAAAGTGGTATAGCACTATATTATTTTTTTTAAATTTAAATACAACTTCCCAATAGCATAAGTAATAAATCATTGCTAGCAATAACATACCGATGATACAATACAAATTGAGTTGTTAAACTTTAACACAAGCAACTTATATGATGTTTAAAATATCTCCATTCTCATAACGTCTTTGCAGGTATATGCTCGATGTTTGTTCTCATGGCAAGAGCGGCAGACATAGCAGATCCTCTAATAACACTATACTGGATACCTTGAGATACATTTAAAAAAAAAAGTAATGACATACAATAATAGTAATGATAATAAAAGGTATAAATGTACAATCATAATGAGTGGATGATCAAGGATATAATAATATAACAATATCTTTCACGATCAGAACCCAACAATTATATTTAACATATCCTATCATCACATAAATGTAGTTATGCTCAATTGTTCTAATTTATAGAACACTAAAATTAAAAAGACCAGCAAGCTACACAAGTGTCTAATTAACACATAACAACATTGCTTTGTTTAAAATTTAACATTGCATATCTAGTTACCTCCACTCTCTTTTTATGGTTAAAAAATAAGGGGAATGTTGATTACGGTGCTCATTTGATATTTATCCGTACTATCCTTAAGGGATAATTGTGGAAGCTATTAAAGCAATTCTAAATAGATTCGAGTTCTTAGTAATGACTTTACAGGTTAGAGCTTTATATAGTTGACAATGTATATTACCTTCTAACACCATTCCATATAATTAATTGGAGTCAAGCTAATCATGCATCTCAAAAGTATAATAAAATAAGTTTGACCCTTAGAAATTTTCTTTATGAAACTCAAGCTTTATGTTTGTCTTGTGTAAGAAATCTTGAGATAGATGTCTTAGCTCTACAATCAGATCTTATGGACCACAATAAAAGATACGTCATATGCATAAATTCAAAAAAAAATGGAGCAAAACATTACTAATAATTTGACGACAACAATAATATACTCAATTTGATAGCTTGTGAGGTGGAAATGCGTTCTTGATATATTTCAAAACTAAACTTTATTAATAAGGATGAACAATAATTAAAGATGCTAGATAAATACTAACCAATTCTTTGATCAGGATGATTAATTGCTATATGTTTGAAAACTTGGCGCCACTTTGATCTAACAAAATGAGTCTTCACATTTATTAATTCAGAGACTATGTCAACAACACTTTTAGCTTGTTGGATTGCTTGAAGCATAGTAATTAGTGCAGACCACCAGGCATCACTTTTATCATAAAATTGACAATCTTTTCCTGGCCTCTTTGCCATCTGGGTCATCTCTAGAAATAGGCAAAAAGAAAAAAATTATCAAAATTTTTAATAATTCTCAATGAATTTCTAGCAGTGAAATCACATCCAGATAAAAGAACATGATAAGAAATTAGGTTTTACTGCACAGAGAATTAATTTCTTTTCACTTGAAACTTTATTTAATTAATTTAGTATCTTTTCATCACTTATAATTATTTTTAATAAATTATGTGTATTTTTAAAAAAAATAAATTAAAAGTGTCCTTTAATTTTAATGTTTTAATATTTTTATGTTTCATTTGATTTTCTTCACTTATTTTGATATCCGTTCAAAATTAACTTATTTTAAATACAAGACATTTGAACTCAAATCAAAATGAAAGACAAAGAAAATAAACTCAATAGAAAAATAAAAGAGAAAAAACAACGAATTTACGTAAAAAATAAAGTTTTGAAACAAGGTAAAAAAATGTGTATTAACTTAATTTAAATACAAGATAAAAAAATAAGAATATTTTTTAAAAAAAATTAAGAAATTAATTTATTTTTAAAAATAATAATTTTTAATTAAAAAATAAAAATATATATATTTACACACATGGCGGGCGAGTGTGTACAAACACAACCAACTTGGGTGGTTGAAGGTGCCACATCAGCACAAAAGGTGCACAAAAATACGGAAAAAATGAATTTAGGGGTAATAAGATCTTAGTTAAGTTTAAGTGTATCTCTGAAATTTCGATCATAGTCTAGAGATACTTATGCCTTTTCCCTATAATTATTACTGTATATATTACTTTGACTCTTGAATTCACTTTTGAAACTTAGAGATAGATGACAATTGAAACTTGCACAATACAATATTTTCTTTGTTTCAATTTATGCAGTAAAATTGACTTTCAAATATTTTAAACCATAAATTATTAGACTTTTAACATAATTTTTAAATATATAAAATTCTATTTTTAAAAAACTTAGTAATTTCATATCAAATTCACAATTAAAATATTTGACTGTCGGAATGGCACAAAGGATTTAGCCTTATTTCCCCTTTTAATTAATGTGTTTGTTTCTCTGATTTTGTTTGTTTTAAATTTTAATTGTTATTTTTTTCCCTCTTGTGTGTTTCTGAACTAACAAGGTTGACAAAGAAATCTCACGAGTTGGGCCGATTCAAATTGTGGACTTTGAAATAAGACTAGTGTTAGAAAGTGGAAGCATTTAGGCAATAAACACCATCTTCGATTTTTACTATCGTGGTTTTTGAGTTAACTTACGTGAGAATCACTGTCAATAGATACTAGATGATCATGTTCACCAAAGCTAAGACAGATAAATGAGAAGAAATCATTTAATATTTTTACTAAGTCATTGACGGCTAAACCACACCCTTAAACGGTGTTGGTGCACATTTGGATTGTTAATATTTCTCACCAAATATTGAAATTAGAAAAGATTTTAAGAAAATTATTAATTAGAAATTACCTAATAAAAATATTCACACAATCAGTGCATAATTAAAGTGATTGTAGCCCAAAAAAAGTTGACCGGAGGAATGCCTTTTGTTGAAACTACGAGCAAATAGATGACTGCCACGTGTACAATCTTTTTTTTTTTTCATCAAAAGAATAGCACTAGTCATAACTCACAAGTATATACGTTAACGAATCGAGAAAATAACATCAAAGTATATTGCTAAATATTGAAATAATAATTTAAAGTTCCAGAATCTTAAGTTGTTTAGGATTTGTTATTTTTTAAATTTATTTTAATTACTGTCTAGTTAGAATTTGTTTGTTATAGTTTATATAGAATAAATTTTCTAGTCCTAGTTCAATTTGATTTCTTATTATTATAAATATAGGAATGTTGCTAGTTATTTTCAATAGAAAGAAATAGAAAGAGAACAAGAAAAAGAGAGAAATAGAGAACTTGAAGTAAGATTCAAGAGCTTTTGAGTAAAATATTTTCCTTCGAATAAACTGTGAAACTTGATCTCGGCGGGCAAGTAAGCATTCTAATTTTGAGTACGTACATTTAGACACCTCATCTCGTTTCAATTGTACCAGTTGAAAACTTCAACTAACAAAATGATCATCTAAACACCTCCAAAATTTATGTATCACATCAGCGTTTGATGTGCACTACACATAATGATTAATGGGGACGAGTTGGACTATTTAATTGTCAATTAAGACGAAATTAATATATCTAAATATACACTTTTAAAGTTAGAATGCTTAGTTTACCAGTCAAGATAAAATTTAATATGTTGATGTTTTATGCTTATTGTCTGAGAATAGATTCAAGACAATCCATTAATTAAATTTTATTTTTAACCATTTCAATCCTTTAAATTAGTCAAGAGTAGGCCGTTTTAATTTTAGTCTCCGTCAAATATTTTTTTAAAATATACTAAGGTTTACCTGATTATAGTTTAATTATATTATGGCAAGTTAGACATAAATATTGCATACTCTCCTTCAACTAATCCATTTTTCTGCCTAACTTTCTTCTTTATATAAACATTTAATGTCACACAAATTCTAATCATTCTACTTTTTCTTAATAATTAAGAAAAGCTTAGGAAGTTTTCAGTAATATCAACTTTGGTTAATTAGTTACTCTTCTCAAACTCTGCTTGTGATTTAACACATTTGGTTTATTACTCAAGTTAAGTATCTTCCGTACTACTATAGATTGTGATTCTACGTTTTCTTTTATATTCTTCAAAATTTAGTTATACAGATAATTATCTGAATTCAAATTTTATAATATTGTTAAAGCAGATTGTCTACAGGATTGCAGCTATGGTCAAGAATGCAAACTTATCAACACTTAGCAATTTCTTCCACAAAAGGTGCTCTTTTATATCTCTGTCTTAATATGCGTGTCATAGTTCAAATTGTGAGAGTCAATTTTTTTTAGTTTTAATCATGAGTTTGGATTTAGAAATTACTTTAAAAGTACTTGTAGACACTAAATTAGTAAATTTTATGAGACTCTATAATAACAAGTTCAATTTTACTTAGGGTTAATAAAGGTTATTGTATTCTAAATTCTAACTTAGGTCTATATAAAAGATAAAATATATATTTTCAGGAGAAGTCTTGAAAATTCCATAAATTTATGAATGTTTATAAAGATTTGATCAAGATGTGTCGGAATGCTTCTTTACAACCATCCATAACCATAAAATTCTTTCATAAATATAACAAAACTCAAGGAAGTCTACATTACTCTAGTTCGAGAAATATGCCTTTAAAGTACCTACATTATTTTACAGAAAAAAATAATTCTTCATATTTTATTTGTAATTTATTTTTTATTGTTTTAAAATTTGTTACAAATTAACACTATTATATAATTACAATAAGTAACAATTTGAAATAATTGAACCTAATATGAATAATGAAAAACTTATTTGACTCTCAAGTACTTATTGGAACATGGTGCTCCAAGGAGGGAATAT